GCACAGGATACACTCAACCAAACCACAGCGAACAAATTCTCTGTGAGAAGTACAAAATGAGCCCAACACAAGGCACAACTAGGGAAAAAATACTGCAAAAGTTATCAGTAAAACGTACTGTATTTAGAATGTCGTATATAAAAAACTCCTGACAGCCCAGCCAGTGCGGCTCAGTGGCTGAGTGTCGACCCATGAACCCAGAGGTCATGGTTGATTCCTGGACAGGGCACGTGCCCGGGCTGCCAGGAGGCGGCGGCCAATCATGGTTTCTTTCTCGTTGATGTTTCCATTTTCCTCCCCCTCCCCTTTCCTCTCTCTCTGATATCAATAAAGACATATTAAAACCAACCAAACAAAAAGCCTCCCAATACTCAAAAGACAAATAATAAATGAACAGAACATATAAAGATGCTTCACAGAAGAGGGAACAGAAATGGCCAAAAAATATGCAAGATGTCCCATCTCTTTTGTAGCCAGGGGACTGTAAACCAAGCATGATCAGCTACTGTTCCATACCACACAGCCCCAAATCAACAACCTGACCCGGCTAAGTGGACGCAATCCAGTCTTCCGAAGGGATGCCCGAGTCCCTGCTGGTGACCAGGTGGCCTTTCCCTACGAGCATCCACTGCCCGTCCTCCCCCGCCAACCCCCACCCGCTCTCAGAGAACAAGGCTTTGGCTCCTCAAATAGGATTTGAATGTTACCAAACCCATTCTGTCTCCACAGCTTCCACGAGCGCCAAGAGACGCCTCACATTCCCTGAAGGTTCACACTCACCAGGAGGAAGTCTTATCCCACAAGCCCGTGGGGCCCAGACCAGGGCGAGCTGAGAGCTCTGCACTCACCTGTCCTCGGGCCTCTTGGTGCCTCGCTCGTAGGCAGAGGAGGGCGGCGAGAGGGAGCCCCTTCGTTTCCGCTTCTCTTTATTCTGAGTTTGCTTGTCTGTGTCTCTCTCTCTTGACCGGTTGGGAGTCTTTGGGGCAGCAGCTTGATCTCTGAAGACAGTAGCGTCCCTTCCCCGTTCAGTCACTAGGGGGAAAGGATTTAAAAACTTACTGGGAGCCGTTTCTCCATCGGATGCACCAACCGTGTCACAAAGTTCTACCCAACAAGTGGGTCCCCGGGCGCCTCCGGCCCTGCCTCCCAAGAGCCTCTTCTGGGAGCGCCCCTTCTACTTCCCACCGAGTGCCGCGCCTGCGGCAGCTTCAGCGGCTCCGGCTCTGTGGAGCGCAGCACGCAGGGCGCTCCAGACCTTTACGAGGCAGTCTGCTTGTCAGTCCAAGTGTGAACGCCACCTACTGCCCGTAACTCCACAGATTTATAATTTTCAGAAGAGCAGCCTGACATAAAAGCCTCAATAGGAAATGTTTACTTATTTTTTTTTTTTAATATACTTTAATTTCAGAGAGGAAGGGAGAGGGAGGAAGAGACAGAAACATCATGATGAGAATCATGGTGGATTGGCTTCCTCCTGCACGCCCCACACTGGGGATCGAGCCCATAACCAAGGCATGTGCCCTTGACCAGAATCAAACCTGGGACCTTTCAGTTCACAGGCCAACATTCTACCCACTAAGCCAAACCAACAACTAGGGCAGGAAATGTCTCTTTAGTTAAAAAAGGATTAGACAACTTTTATTAAACCAATACAAGAATCTTTAACCCTATCCCATTTTGCTCAGTGGATAGAGCATTGCCTGCAGACTGAAAGGTCCCAAGTTCGATTCTGGTCAAGGGCACATGCCTGGGTTTCAGGCTCAATCCCCAGTAGGGGGGAGGGGAGGCAGGAGGCAGCTGATCAATAATTCTCTCTCATCATTTATGTTTCTATCTCTGTCTCCCTCTCCCTTCCTTTCTGGAAGCAAATATATATGCTTGGCAAATAAATGGCCAAAAATACACACACACACACACACACACACACACACACACACACACACACATATAATGTCTGATCTAAAGGAACAAATGCATGGAAGAAAGACTACTAAAGGCCATGACTTCAAGGAAACCAACAACAATGATAATACAAAGAGACATCTCCTTCAGCAAAAATTTACTAAGAAAGCATAAAATTAGCCCTAACCAGTTTGGTTCAGTAGATAGAGCGTCTGAAGGGTCCCAGATTTGATTCCGGTCAAGGGCATGTACCTCGGTTGTGGGCACATCCCCAGTAGGGTGTGTGCAGGAAGCAGCTGATATATGTTTCTAACTCTCTATCCCTTTCCCTTCCTCTCTGTAAAATATCAACAAAATATTTTTTTAAAAAAACAAAGCAAAAACAAACAAGACTAAAAAACAAAACAAAACGAGGCATAAAATTACAAGTTCACAAACCTGTTTACACCAAACAGTCCACTTACTTACATACTGTCTGGTTTCAAAAACAGAACTACTCAATGCTTCCCAGTGACCTCGCGCATCCCAGAGGAGGGTCCGGGCACTCACCTGCGCTCTCCTTCTCCGTCTGGCTTTTCTTTGGAATCCGGTAGACCTCCTGCAAGAAAGCACACGGAGGAGGGCTGTCAGCGGGGGCAGGGAACGTGACCGCGCGGAAGCGATGATCTTACAAGGAACAGGCTGGTGGTTCATTTCTCCCAGAATGTGACTTACTCTGGCTTCACATAAGAATATACCCCAGTCCCTTAAGAGCAAGTGAAGACGTAGCACAAGTAAAAACATTTAACATCTACAAGGCCCGTATGACCTCATTAGTCGAGTCACAAAGAGTAACAAGGCATTTTCCTTCTGCTATAAACACACCTCCTGATAATTCCTGTATGCTTTCTACATATAAAGTTTAGTCGCCTATAGTTCCTCTGTAGATTATTCCTAAGAACAATTCAGACATCTTACTACCGCCCCTACTTAAAGGTTAGCAGTGACCATATGGAAAACTTAGACACATTTCGCATGAGGGTGATTCCTGCTATCGACTATATTTTCTTATCAATGCAAAAGCAACTTGGCTAGTGGCCAAATGTATGTCTGCTTTCCTCCTGCTGTCGTGGAAAGGAAAGGTGACTGGCTGACGTTGCTCCGGCTGGATTCCCGGTCAAGGGCACACACCTGGATGCAGACTCAGCCCAGCTCGGCCAGGATGCACGCAGGAGGCAACCAGTCCGTGTGCCCCTCTCACATCTCTCATATCAATGTTTGTTTTTTGTTCTCTCTCTCTCTCTCTCTCTCTCTCTCTCTCTCTCTCTCTCTCTTTTTTTTTTTTTAAAGGAAAGCAACATTAGATCATTGAGAAAGTGGCGTGTGTTGAGGCCTTAGATACCTTTCTGCTACATGACGCTAAGGCCAGAGCCGGTTCTGTCTCCGATGGCCCCTGTCTGTTCTGGCCCATCGAGCTCCTGGGCACACTTCTTACCAGTGACCTTGTTAAGTGGGAAATGGCAAACCCACGTATTCCCAACGTCACATCATATGACACCTTCCCTTCGGGGTAATCTCATAATATTGAACATAGCTATATAACCTGTACTTCCATTCTTAAACACCCCCCCCAAAGAACTCTCCCCACTTTGATGGTTGATTCTGGGGATATCTGTAGGAAACGAGAAATAACCCACATTCAGACGCACTACTGGATTGCCATGAATGTGACCGATGCGTTGGTCTCTGTGCTGTCTCCACCAGCTGAGCATGCAGACCCTCCAGTGCGCATGGGGCCCAGGCACCTGTATTTTAAGAAGCTCCCAGGTGCTTCTGGACCCCCGAGAAGGTCGAGAACCCCTGGCCTCGTAGTAGCCGTCACTCACTGCTCACAGAGAATCTGAGAAAGAACTATGAAGCAGGCATGCCTACCCTCAGCTCAGAGCCTCTGGCTCCTCCTGGGCTGCTCCTCTGCAGGGCGCCTGCAGCCGCCCAGCGCGGTGCCCCCCTGTGACACTGACTCAGGACAAAGCCAGGAGAACAGAGCTGACACCCGGCTGTCTGACTCTGCCTGCCCCTTCGCAGAGGGGAAAAGCAATAAAGCCACTCATCAGCATCTACCCGCATTATAGGGGAAAACAGGAATTCCAAAAGGTAGCACATATATCAAGGGATGTCCGTTAACTCAGAATAACACAATCTTAACCTACTGAGGGTCTTCTGCATGAGGCCTTGGCCTTACAGACTTAGTCATTTATTACAGACCTCAGGCTGGACCCATTCTGTGGTGGCCGTTAATTTCCAGAGAACACACTCCTCAAAGATACAGTCTATGATTTTAAAATGTTTTTGTTGATTTATTATTATTATTTTTGAGAGAGAAAGGGAGAGGGTGGGAGGGAGGGATGGGAGAGAGAGAGGAAGTGGGGGTGTGTGTGTGTTGGGGGGAGAGAGAGAGAGAGAGAGACACACACACACAGACATGGATCCATTGCCTCCCATAGGAACCAGAAGCCTGGGCTGTGATGACACTCAGCCAGCGGAGACACGCCTGCCAGGGCTCACAGATGCCCTCTTCGTTCTATCCAGAGGCCACCCAGCTGCTGAGGAGGAAATGTATCCCGGCCTCCACCAGAGGATGACCAGCCGAAACCAGTTTGGCTCAGTGGATAAAGCGGCGGCCTGCAGACTGAAGGGTCCCAGGTTCGATTCCGGTCAAGGCATGTACCTTGGTTGCAGACATATCCCCAGTAGGGGGTATGCAAGAGGCAGCTGATCAATGACTCTCATCTCTCACCAATGTTTGTAACTCTCTATCTCTCTCCCTTCCTCTCTGTACAAAATCAATAATATATATATATATATAAAAACAGAGGATGACCAGTGGCCAAGAGCAGTTATCAGTGTGCCCAGCACCATGGAGAGCAAGTCCTACCAACATCCACCTAAGCACGTACAGTTCCTAGCTTGGTCCTCCTTCACATGTAGTCAAAACTGCATATAACATTCACTTTATTCTTTGTTAATCTTCACAAGAGGAATTTCCCATTGATTTTTAGAGAGAGTGGGGGCGGGCACCGAAGAGAGAAACACTGACATGAGAGAGACACATCAATTGGTTGCCTCCTGCATGTTCCCGGACCGGGGCCCGGAATTGACCCTGGGATGGAGGTTATGTGCCCTTGACCCGAACCAAACCTGAGACACTTCAGTCCTGGGCTGATTCTCTATCCACTGAGCCAAACTAGGCATCACACATAAAATTAAAAATGGAAACTCAGATTATTTACTTAGAAGCCCTGAAAATGCCACTCAGTTTTCCAAAGTCCCACAATACTGAAAGCCGGGGAGGAAGCAGCCATGTGAAAGGCAGCAGGAAAGCCTACAGGCTGGACGTCGGTGGGAATGATGTCACACCAGCAGGCTTCTGAATCCCCTGCAGAAAGTACTCATCAGAGTCGGCTTCATTTACGTCAACCTTTTATGTAAAATCACTTTACTTTTTAAAAAATCCTACTCACGCCGAAACCGGTTTGGCTCAGTCGTAGAGCGTCGGTCTGTGGACTGAAAGGTCCCAGGTTCGATTCCGGTGGGGGCATGTACATTGGTTGCAGGCACATCCCCGATAGGGGGAGTGCAAGAGGCAGCTGGTCGATGTTTCTCTCTCGACATTTCTAGCTCTCACTCTCTCTCTCTCTCTTCCTCACTGTAAAATAAAATAAAATAAAATAAAATCAATCAATAAAAAATATATATATATTAAAAAGAACATTAAAAAATCCTACGCAGAGGCCGGCATATGGTTAGAGAACATGACTGTGAGCAGGGAGCCTGGATGTCGGGGGAGCCCTGCCCTCCATGGGGCCGGAGTCTGGTTCCCACTCCGCCCGATACTCTGCACACCACCACCTTATTTCATGGTGTCTAGGCAATGTGCCCAACACACACACTCACACACTCAGCTGTCATTATTGAGGGTCAGGATCATCTTACGCTTTGCTGTATCTCTAGGATCAAGAACAGGGCCAGACACATAACAATTAATTGCTGAGTGGACACGTGAAATCCTACTTCTAATTTGTATAAATCAACCACACATTGCTAAACAAACTCAGAAGTATTACATCTCTCGTGCTTTTTTCTTGTCACTAAACTTATACCATCACTAGAGGCCCAATGCACGGATTTGTGCACAGTGGGGCCCCTCAACCTGATCTGCGGGATGGGGCCAAAACCAGCTGACATCCCGAGGGGTCCAGGATTGTGAAAAGGTGCAGGCCAAGCAGAGGGACCCCACTGGTGCATGATTGGGGCCTCAGAGGGACGTGAAAGGTTGGCCATCGGGGGAGGGACTGCAGGAAGGCTCCAGGGCGTGTCCAAGTTTATTCCAAGTCCGAGTCCTTAAAAAACGACAGTGAGCCAGTGTTGCTCAGTGGTGAGCTGTTAACCAACAAGCCAGGTCACTGTTCCGATCTCTGTTAGGGCACATGCCTCGGTTGTGGGCTCGATGGACGTGCAGGAGGCAGCCGATCGATGATGCTCTCCTCATTGCTCAGAAACCTCGTTCCGCACGCCCTGAAAGGCCCCGAGGGTCAGCCCTGGGTCACAGGCTGAGCTCTCTGCTACAAGAAGGAAAAAGCCACCTGAACAAAACATCCAAGGGACCGTCTCTAAGCTTTCAGAATGAATGTGGACTTACGAGTTTACCTGAAAAGTATTAGGTCTAGTAATAATTAATGTCGTTTTCTAATATAATATACAAATCAACCAGAAAGCAAAACCAGTCGCTATGACACGCACTGACCACCAGGAGGCAGATGCTCAACACAGGAGCTACCCCCTGGTGGCCATGCCACTCAGCCAGAAGCCAGGCTCAGGGGCTGGCGAGTGCAGAGGTGGTGGCTGGGCCTCTCCCACCTCTGTGCAGGCGGTTGGTAAGGAGCCAAGAGCCCTGGACCCACGAGGGATGTCTGACTGCCGGCTTGGGGCCTCTCCCCAAGGGGTCCCGACACAGGCTGGGCGGAGGGGCCCACCCCAGCGCACTAACCTCATGTCCTGGGCCCCCAGTAAAAGATACATAAAGGGGGGAAAGAATGGGAGCAAGAAGGATAAATAGGAGACTGTTAAAATAGTCTTAAGAATGACAAGGGGGCATGTGTGTGGGGAGGGGTGTGGGATGGGAATGGGATGAGGACAAATATATACCTTAATCAATAAAAAAAATTAAAAAAAAAAGACAACCACCTAAATTAAAAATGGCAAAGAGGAGACGATAGGACCTATTTCACGTGTTCGGCAAAGAAAGCTCAGGAGGCCAGGAAATACCGCTTCAGGGACAGGAAGTCAGGGAACACCACAGCAGAAAGGAGAGGCATGTAACAGAAGGAGAGGCGAGGTCAAGCTCTCCGTGGATACACTCTCCCTTTTACGTGTGCGCTCATAAAACACACACACGTATGTATTGTTCACAGTCTGCTGACAAGCGACATCCCAGTAGCAACGGCTTCAAGGTCAACTGAAGCACTGAATAAATAATGGAACTAAGGGACCGCAATTCACTGAATAAAAACAAGAACCCATGAGTCTAAACTGATATTATCAATGAATAAAGAACTAGAT